GCACCCCCTGCACTACGCGGCCGCCTCCAGCACCTACCGCAGGTGGGACATTGGGGACATTGGGGTGACAATGCCATCCCTGGGTGGTGGCATCAAGAGTGTCATTGGGGTGGCATTGGATGGTGACATTGGGTGGTGGCACTGCTGATGGCAAGGGCTGCACCCCCTGCACTACGCGGCCGCCTCCGACACCTACCGCAGGTGGGACATTGGGGACACTGGGGTGGCATCGGGGTGGCATCAAGAGTGTCATTGGGGTGGCATTGGATGGTGGCATTGGGGTGACATTGGGTGGTGGCACTGTCGACAGCAAGGGCTGCACCCCCTGCACTGCGCGGCTGCCTCCGACACCTACCGCGGGTGGGACAGCGGGGACACCAGGGTGACACTGGGATGGCATCAAGAGTGTCATTGGGGTGGCATTGGGTGGTGGCATTGGGGCGACATTGGGTGGTGGCACTGTCGACAGCAAGGGCTGCACCCCCTGCACTACGCGGCCGCCTCCGACACCTACCGCAGGTGGGACATTGGGGACACTGGGGTGACATTGGGGGTGACATCAAAAGTGGCATCAGGGTGGCATCGGGGGATGGCACTGGGTGGTGGCACTGTCGACAGCAAGGGCTGCACCCCCTGCACTACGCGGCTGCCTCCGACACCTACCGGAGGTGGGACATGGGGACACTGGGGTGACAATGCCATCCCTGGGTGGTGGCACTGGGGGATGGCACTGGGTGGTGGCACTGCCATTCCCGTGTGGTGACATTGGGTGGTGGCATTGCCGACGGCAAGGGCTGCACCCCCCTGCACTACGCGGCTGCCTCCGACACCTACCGCAGGTGGGACATTGGGGACACCGGGGTGGCATCGAGGGTGGCATCAAGAGTGGCATTGGGGTGACATCGGGGTGACATCAGGGGATGGCATTGGGTGGTGGCATTGCCATTCCCGTGTGGTGACATTGGGTGGTGGCACTGCCATCGGCAAGGGCTGCACCCCCCTGCACTACACAGCTGCCTCCGACACCTACCGCAGGTGGGACATGGGGACACCGGGGTGACAATGCCATCCCTAGATGGTGGCATCGGGGGTGGCATCGGGAGTGACATTAGTGGTGGCACTGAGTGCACTACGCAGCTGCTTCCAACACCTACTGCAGGTGGGACACTGGGGTGACATTGGGGTGGCATTGGATGGTGGCATTGGGGTGACATTGGGTGGTGGCACTGCCGACCCTGGGTGGTGGCATCAAGAGTGTCATTGGGGTGGCATTGGATGGTGACATTGGGTGGTGGCACTGCTGAAGGCAGAGGTGCACCTCCCTGCACTACGCGGCCGCCTCCGACACCTACCGCAGGTGGGACATTGGGGACACTGGGGTGACATCGGGGTGGCATTGGGATGGCATCAGGAGTGGCATTGGGTGGTGGCACTGCCACCCCCATGGTGACACCCCTGTCCCCTGCAGGGCGGAGGCTCCGTCGGGGAGCAGCCACGAGGGCGAGGAGGAGCCGCTGCGGGAATCGCGGCTCAAGGAGGCGTTCTTGTGAGTGACAGCCCCGAATCCCGGGAATTCCCAAATCCCATCCCATCCCATAAATCCCATCCTATCCCATCCCATGAATCCCATCCCGTCCCATCCCATCCCATCAATCCCATCCTATACCATCCCCTCCCATCCCATAAATCCCATCCAATCCAATCCCATAAATCCCATCTCATCCAATCCAATCCAATCCAATCCAATCCAATCCAATCCAATCCAATCCAATCCAATCCAATCCAATCCAATGCAATCCCATCAATCCCATCCCATCCCATCAATCCCATGGATCCCATCCCATCTCATCCCATCCCATCCCATCTCATCCCATAAATCCCACCCAATCCAATCCCATCAATCCCATAAAATACATAAATAAATTCCATAAATAAATCCCATAAATCGCATTCGATGGATCCCATCCCATCCCATAAATCACATAAATCCCATCCCATGGAT